CAGCAACCTTCTGCATTCTGCATACTCCCAAATCCCATTGGTTCATACAAATCGCGTGCCTGAAACGCCTGTTTTATGGTACATTGTGACCTTAACCTAACCCTACTTAAAAAAAAAAAAAATTAATTGTTGTAAAAATTATTTGTTGTTATTAAATTGTTGAAAATAAATCATGTAAATATTTGCGTTAATTGGAAAAAAATAGTTAAATGGATAAAGATGGAAAAATACAGAAAACAGGTAAATATTAAAAAATCAGATGGGATTCGATCCCCTGGATAGCCGAACGCGTACAGCACAGGCGTCACGGCTCAAAGGTCGTTCGAGCGACAGACAGCCAGCGAGCGACAGACAGCCAGCGAGCGACAGACAATTAATGAGCGACAGACAGCTAGCTAACGTAGCCGTGTCAACAAGCACACAGACGTAGCGCCACCAAACACGTGGGACACTTTGGCTATCTACCATTGGCACTAGCCCTCACCTTCATATTTTTTTATGCGAGCAAGTGTGTACGTAGTGATATGAGACAGCGAATACACAACCTATAGTTTAACTCAGGTGTTCCAATGTGTAGGTAAATTCCTGCTCGTACATTTTATATTCGTCGGGTGATACTTGATATTTGCAATCCCGTTCTATGTAGTCAGGTTGTGTGATCCCTTGGCTGTATAGCTTCAATGCTTACAGTAATTTTGGCTCCTGTTAAAGACTATCAGGAATGTTCCCAAAGCAGTATTGTAGACAATGGCAATAGCATGAATAGAGTGATGGAAATAGTCAGTCATAGATAGTCTTATAATTAAAACGATCCCAACAATTATTAGCTCATCTGACGTAGTCAGATGCAGCTTGTAGAATCGCATGATCGTGCGTCCGTCCGTCCGTCCGTCAACAGGTGGGCACAAATCTTAACCGCTCGACGTACGGTCACGATATTCAGGACGTCGGGGGGGGGGGATCGTGAAAAGGACTCAGAATGACAAATTTGGGGGGTTAAGGGTCAAAGGTCAAGATATGTAAACGGAGGGGGAATATTTCCCCCTTAACTTAAGGTATAGGAGGAAATACGGAATTGCGGCACAAATCTTAATGGCTCGACCTATGCTCTTAATATTTGGTGTATAGTGTGATGTGCAGGAAACCTATCACCAGTGCGAAATTGGAGGTCACAGGTCAAAGGGCAGTGGGGGAAAGGTCAGATATCAGACATTTTCTGAGGACATGGCCTAATGGACAGAGTGAAAAACTTTTTTTGTTTCAGCACTGACCTACCATTTTTATCATTCATGGCACATCCATAATCTAAAGACCCAATACGTTAGCTGTCTGTCGCTCGTTAGCTGTCTGGCGATCGTTAAATGTCTGTTGCTTGTTAATTTCCTGTCGCTCGCTGGCTGTCTGTCGCTCGTTAGCTGTCCGTCTCTTGTTAATTGTCTGTCGCTCGTTAGCTGTCTGGTGCTCGCTGGCTAGCCGCGTCACGGTTCCCTCGAGCTCGACGATTCTCGATCTCAGCTGTGAGTTTTCGCTCGACAGCTGCTTCACCAGATACTCGACGTACTCCGTGTGGATTCGCTTCTTCACGCGCGACTTGCGCGCCGCCTCGTTGTTCCGATTCCTCTTCAGCCGGTACTGCTCATCGTCGTCGCTGTCCGCCGCGCCGTGTGGCGCCCTCTTCATCGTGCACGCCGACGGTTGGATGCGGCATTCGGGGAGACGGAATGGCAGCATCGTGATGCCGGAGCTTAGATACGGGCCGCCGAACATGGGAGTCGTCCCGGGAACCATCCGGACGGCGGTGCAATCGGGAAGCAGCTCCTCCCGTTTTAAATACGTTACCGCGGACGTCGCGACACTGTCGGTCTCCATTTTTTGGCTGGGCATTTCAAGTTCGGGTCGAGTAGTGTTCGTACAGGGCCACGTTCCTACCGGTCTGTAATATAAATTGTGTAGCGGTGAGAAGAGAAAGCATTTCGATCTGATTATTTCTATAGCCCATCATTATGGACTGGCAAATCTGAAAGAGACCCATGCATGTGTATCTGTGATTTACATCGTGTACCATGTTCTATCACTGTTCAATATTGCTAATATATATATCGAAATGATGCACACACACATACATACATACAACCCTCATTGCAGGATTATGTGGAGTTTTGCATGCCATCATACATACTATTACTCAGACACGTGCTCTGCAGCATGCTTATAGCGTCAGATTATATGAAGGTCGGATTAAAGCAGGCAGTACACTTCACCATTTTCGTTGCTCATACAGGCAATTTTCGTGGTCGCCACAAAGATGGCCAAGTGTGCGGGGGCCGGCAACGACCACTCACCACGGAAATTTAGTGGTGACCACGAGTTGCCGAGAATCAAACCGGTTTGATTTCTCACCACGAAAATTGTTCGTGGTGGCAACTTGTGGTGAAGTGTGCGCCAAGCCACCACGGCAGTCGGCAACAAAATCACTCGCAGACCAATCAAAATTAGCGCTGCCGTCACATGATTTAAAAATGGCGGGCCCAATTTTATCGACTTGGACCACCGAGTTAGAAGCAGAATTAATAGATTTATGGAGTGAGAGGCCTTGTCTTTTTGACATCAAAGCTCCCGAATACAGCAACAGAGTACTCAAGGCGATGGCCATAAGTGAAGTGTCCCAACTTCACAAATCTATCTATCTATACATCTATCTATCTATACATACATCTATCTGGACATAAATCTATACAAATATAGGGCCCCTAGGCCTAAGTAACAGAAATGTTGATAAAATTTATATATTTTATTTATTTGATAACTGTATATGAATGGGTTAAAGCTACAACATCTGGCAACAAACATTGCCGTCAACAGCACATTGCCGACCACGAAAATCGCCTGTACAAGCAACGAAAATGGTGAAGTGTGCTGCCTGCTTAAACTAGTGCGGGGCCTAGGCCTATAGTATAGCATACCATATAAAAGGCCCTAAATTAGAAAACATAAATATTAAAACACAAATTTAATCTAATCTAAATCTAATACATTTGTAATAGCATTAATTATTGTATCATGTTTGCGTGTATGCTAAAATAAATGTTTTACTATTAGTTCATGATTTAGGCTAACCCGACCAGGCTGTGTGACTAACGTCAATACACCGGTATTCACCGGTATTCACCGGTATACACCGGTATACACCGGGTATTCAAACCCTAGCAATACCGTTTCTTGGAGCTAGATTTAGGCTAGCTCTAGTACTATACTCTATAGCCTAGGCATAGCCCGCGTACAGTGACTGCCGCAGGCATAGCCCGCGTACAGTGACTGCCGTAGGCCCCGCCTGCGGCAGTCACTGCAGTTCAAGGATAGAGAACATGGATGGGTCCCAATAAAACCAATGTCATTGACATCAATATAAATATAATAGGTTAGGGTTAGGGTTAGGGTTAGCCCGACCAGGCTGTGCGACGGATTGTGGATTTTTTGTTTTTTTTATTTTTCCGGCCCAAGGAAGAGAACATGGCGTCCAATAAAACCAATGTGCCTAACCTAAACCCTCTCTCTAACCCTAACCCTAATCCTAACCTAACCATTACCCTAACTATTATATTAATAT